TTTTTTCGGATCAATGTTGTTTTTTTTTTCGGGGGGGGGGGGGGGGGGGTTATCAGTTTAATAATCGCTAGCCCTAGCCCTAATATTTTCGCAAACTTTTATATAATCGTGATCTCAATTTACCAAGAAGTGAGCCTGTGAACCTCTGGTAATAAATTTTGTGAGCTTCATTAGGACGAAACCTGCAAGTGTCAACCTGGAAATAACAACATACATATTTGGTCACAATGAGAGGCTCGCTGCGATCCTAGCACATGAATAACCCTTCGCTCATCATGACTAATCGGAATTCCCATTCAGAAACGCTAGATAAAACCCTTTAAACCGTGCCGTCGTTTCCGCATCGTTGATCAGTAATCCGCAGAATCGGAAGACCATAAATCACGAAGCGTGCTTGGATGCGCAATGATGTCAGTGAACTCATTGCATGGATACAGCATTACGATGGCCTCATATACGTTACAATAGCCTAAATGCTCTATTTCATTACCTATGTACAAAACCCAAGGATTCATCCAAGTATAATGTGAATGTGTCGAAATTTGGTGGCAAGAAAAATCTATAACTTATCTCATCCTCACTGGCTTACGCAGCAAGGAGATAATGGCTTACATAAGTTACTTATGTTGGTGACTTTCTTCTCACTATGAATAATCGAAATTAGTTTTCCAAACTTTGTGACTAACTTACAATGTAAATTATATGCTCTCTCAAAATTTCTTAAAGTTATAAGCTTGCGATATATTTCAGAATCGCATCCGGTAGGCGCTGCTAGCAACATATTCCTGTAACCAAAAAATTTCTTTATGCTTTTCCCCTCTCCTTTTTGAGGAAAAAAATTTTTTTTACGAGCCTGCTGTTCTGTAAGGGATTGCGATCAACTGGGGAATCTTACAGTAAAAAAATTTCTTCTCCTTCCGGCTTGGAGCATCACCCTATGAATGCTGATTGATCTCAGAAATCAGACAGATTCTCGAGTATTGTTTCAGACTGTGAACTAGTGATGATGAAACTTTTACATGGTTGTCGCTTCAGGTCTTCAAATAAACTTCAATGAAAACAATGGCTCAAAGTGTTTAGGCAAATGTAAGTACTTGGAAGTTAAGACTCGTGTAGTACTGTACTCGAGGACTGCTCGAAAAGAGTACTGTAGTGGGAAAGAATCTGAAATCGGATTTTTTCACCATGACTGATACAATCGAGCAATTTTTGTGCGTTCGTGTTAGCCCCGTAATTCCCCATAATTTTTTGAATGTAAACTGTTTCACTGTCCTCATTTGAAAATTATATGAGTTTTGTCCGTACAATTTTGATGCTGCTAATAGATAGAAAGAAAACGAAAGGGCTCATGAATCCAGAAATAAGAAATAGGACGAAAAAGACAGTTTAATCAAAAAGATTATCTTATTCCTGAGCATGAACTTTTCCAAAAAAATTTGCTGACATTTGTAGCCAGATAATTTCATCAATTTGACGAAATTGCATTGAAGTTTTGAGATTGGGTACATTACCATGCAAAGGCTACCATTACCATGTTGAAGCTCTCCTTCTCCGTATCAATGTCATCAAAATCAACAAAAAATCGCTGATCGATCCACCTGCATCGCATATCTCCCCAGTGATTCACCACCGGAACATGACTGGTTGGTCGACGTAATTGATGCCGGTTTGCGCCGGGGCAACGATCCACACAAATAGTCCTTGTCCGGGGGATTTATCCCTAGTCGCTGATCATTTTCTGGCAACACACTAAAGAAACTATTAGTTCGATATCGGCTCATTGTTTACGTCGGCCTTCGCTTGGCATGGTGACCTAGTATTTGCACTTTCTTCGGTGAGACGATATTTTCGCAGAAAGTAGGTAACTGCAAATAACCGGCCGGTAATCCAAATGTTGATATAATCTTTCTGCGTAAAAAAGTGCGTCAGCGATCATAAAACTTTGTCTGTCACGAGGGGAGCGAGATGACGAAATCTAATTCAACATAATGCAGCATAACCTGCAAATAGTGTTCTTTTTGAGGATCATTCAGATGTATAGAGACCCTGTATGTTGCTATCCTATAAGATACCGCAGGAAATTACATTGATCATACCAAGAGAATGTATTTAAATTTTGAATAAGGAAAGTGAAGTACCCTGATTGTTCCTGGCCCTCCAAGTGCACTTCCCTTATTTCTGAGTGCTTTAAGATACGTAGAGGTCTGCCCCCGTGCTCGAAAGTTGAAGTGATACGAGAGAGGCATTTGTGTTTGATGCTGGTAAAAAATACATATATGTGTACCACGGAAGTATATAATCAAGGTTAGATATTGTTTTCAATAATGTGTATTGAGTACTAGGGGGACTCAGACTTCTTATGTAATTCGGACTTAACTAAGCCTTTGCAGATTCCGCACCTCATACAGTGCTGGCCATAGCTATAAAGCCACCCTAAAAATCACCGTAATTTACTCTCTCTTGCTCATAATTGTCTGAAAAACCACTATTTTGTGCGCAAACTAACGTCATACCATTGACCAAAACGGCTCCTGATTTCATGGATTTTGGGCGGAGAAAAATTGAAAATTTGAAAAAACGGGTTTCGAAGGCTGGTCACAGCTATAAAGCAACCTTTCATTTTCAATCGGTACTACGTTTTTTGAATCTCAAATTTTTTGTACATATACAACATCAAAATATGAAACATTTTTACACTTGAAAGGAGTCGCCTTTCAAAAAGAAGATTCGTACTGCATTTTTTGCTCTAAATTGCATAATAACCCACATTGCTTGCAAAAAAACTGCTTTTTCACTAAATTTTGAAGCACTTGTTTGACTCGGATGAACGTCCTAGGATTTGCTTAGCCTTTGCAATGAACGAGGTGAAAAGTGCGGAACTCAACATTGCGTAGTCGCTAATCTCGGTAAACGAGCCTCACCTTACCGAGGTGTAAGCGCACTTCTGAGGCTCAAAACTAGATTTCTGACACGCGAAAACTTTTGGTTGGATGTTGACACCTTGTCTGCATGGCGACGTACTCATGCAGAAGCCGCCAGGTTTTTTTTTGCAAAAACCTATTTGCCGCAATGAAGTTAGAACGCTTTGTCTGCAGTTCGGTTGTGCGCAGTGTATCTCACAAGACTTCAAATTTCACTGCTTTGAACTCCTCATCAATTCAAATCTTATTAAACTGTCAGGAATAGAAGGATTTTGAACTTCTGTGCGGTTTTCCGCTCGATCGAGGTGGTTAGAGTGGATCATGATCAGACGGAGTGCACCACATTTTTGGAAAAAAGGCGTCCAAAGCGGAACCAGAGTCCTCAGAGTTGCGGTGACGTACAGGCTATGCACACGAGACTGTCGTTATACAAGCGACGTGCTGAGCACGCGACAGAGCTTTTCGGGCATTAGAACTCAGGTTCTGCGGTTCGAAAACTCGTCTACCTGAAGGTGAGGTTGGGGCTCGTTTATCAATATCAACGACTACGCGATGTTAACTCAAGCGCTTTCCGCCGTATTCATTGCAAAGGCTCGGCAAAGCATAGGGCCTTCATCCGAGTCAAACAAGTGCTTCAAAATTCAGTGAAAAAGCAGTTTTTTGCAAATGATGTGACCTATTATGCATTTTAGAGCAAAAAATGCAGTACGAATCCTTTTTTTGAAAGGCGACCCCTTCCAAGTGTAATAAATGTTTTATGTTTTAATGTTCTATATGTACAGAAAATTTGAGGTTCAAAAAACGCAGTACTGATTGAAAATGAGAGGTGGCTTTATAGCTGTGACCAGCCTTCAAAACCCATTTTTTCAAATTTTCAATTTTTCTCCGCCCAAAATCCATGAAATCAGGAGCCGTTCTGGTCAATGGCATGACGTTAGTTTGCGCACAGAATAGTGGTTTTTCAGACAAATATGAGCAAGAGAGAGCAAATTGCGATGATTTTTAGGGTGGCTTTATAGCTATGGCCAGCACTGTAGTATGGATTCGTGGCGAAATCATTTGTGAGCTCGTGCCCATACGTGGTTTCTGATGGACCCAACCAGCATTTTTGATGACTATACGATAGAGAGTACAGTCTGAGCCGTTTGAGGTTGAAAGGTTCAAAAGTAGAAAGTTCACATTAGTTTTCTTGCGCAGTTGCAGCAGTTTCTACTGATTGGAAGGTGGTAAGAAGAAAACTCGGGTATTCAAATTTGCCTGGACACCGCTGTTAGAGGAGAAGAGTCATAAAATTCCAGCCATTGTAAATGAAGCGGGATTTAGTATACTACCTCTCCTGCACTACCTCATAATCTGTTTCAAAAATGAAGGGCTTCCTTTTCTTGAATGGCAGATTTGGTGAAGACAGGAGAATTTCATAACTTTCGATATCCTTCACCGCATCCTCAGAAGATCAACATATTAGAGTAGCATAAATTGTAATGACATAATTTACACTAAAGGAAGAAGCAGCATAGTCTCAAAGTTTGGACGCCTTCACTACTCTCCAATCTTGCAAAAGTCATTTATTCTGTTCTCCATTCGAAGAGCTACTGTTTTTTGAAAGCTAGCATGCCTCATCCTCACTAAATCAAGGCGAGAGCGCTAGAGGATATTCTATCAGTTCAAAAAACCATGATTCACGACTTTGCGAAGACTATACGATTTTCGAATGATTCATCTCGGGACAGTTGATCGTCGCTTCATAAAACAATGATATGATCAGTGATGAGCAATGCTGGCGCTATTCAGCTCTCTTTGCAGCTGCACAAACATTCCTCGAAAAAACTGCACGTATGAAATTGTCATCAAGTTTTGAATGACCACGACTCTTATGTACGTTTTTCTTGGAAAACATCCGGTTTTTCTTCGAAACCAGAGTCTTTGTGCAAATGCGACCGGTAAGTCATACGACGGAAAGGCAAACAAGTAGTCTTAAACAGGCAATTTCGTACATTGTTCGTTGTCGCCGAAAATTGCAGCACTAAATCTGTGTAAACGCGGTCTTTGAAAACCAGTTTATTACAAGAGTTTTTTGTACAACAGAATGAAAGAATACTACAACATGGACACTGAATCAGCTCTGGCCATACTGGCGCTATAGGGAGAGAGCAAATTGCCATTCAGAGCAGCCTCCTTGTCGTCGGTTTTTGTCTTTGCAAATTCTTGGATATCACCTGAAAACTGGATGTAAAACTACTAAGTAGATTTTTGATACATGATGCATTGATATTTTTTGTAATCTTTGAACGATGTCAGGATGGGTGTTTCTTTCACACTTTTTTCGTTTATGAAGAAAATCCCAGAAATTTCGCGAATATTTTCCAAGTCTCTTCATACCTAATGTTTAAGTGTACTCACCGGTTCCGCAAAAATACACGCTCAAATACGCGTACATACTCAATCATGAGAGTACTGAAAGTTATATTTTTGCTTCGAAATTTCCTCTGCCTTTTCTTGTGACTCTCCTTTTTCGCAATAGATATAGAATGAATTTCAAAACTGTCTCTCCAACGGTAGTGTCTGATCCGTCTCAAAAACGAGAGGCCAAAAGAATCAAAAAGAAATGAAAACGCGATCAAATCTCACAGGTGTAATGTAAAAGAAATTTACCAGTCATTCTTAACGTTAGAATGAAATGCTAGTTCGTAAAAGGGCAAATTACAATAATAACATCAATATTTAGTATGTTAAAAATAATAGTAATGATTAACAACAAGTGCAGAGTTTCCGCAAAGATTATGAGTTTGCAAAATTGTCGTTGAGTTTTGTCCAGTCTCGAATTTAGAAAACTCACCTGATCCAAACATGAGGAAAATTGCTCCGGAAAAAACGCACATCAGTGCAGTGACCAGAAATAGGGTATTCCATTCTTGCATGCTACCCTGCAAAAGATTTGAGTGATCTTCAAGAAAAAACTGCTAAAATTTTAGAGGAAGAGAGAGGAAAAGGAAAAATGAATGACGTCGAGAACGAGATATCAGGTATGCTCTTGAAACGCAAAATTTGAACTACCTAAGAAAACGTTCTTTTGGGAAAAAAACTATGAAGGTGGTGTAATTACAAGCACAAAAAATTTTTTCTGCCACGATGCTAAGAGTTTATATTGGATTATAAAGCTTATGAAAAAATATGTTCCTCTCTTTTTACAATGTCGAAATAAAAAACAGTAAAAAAAGTTTTGGAGACTATTTGGATGTCGTACGAACTTCTCCATTACACAGTCTTTTCTACAAAATTACAAAATATTTATCAACAATTGAAGTCAAGATAATTGCAAATTTTCTTCCCTCCCTTACCTTTGCTCTTTTACAGCACTACTTTTGGCTAGAAATGAGGGAAATTTACCGTTTTGTTTATGATGGCCACCATGAATGGCGTCGTAAGCTGGGCCAGCATAGATGTACTAACACTGATTGAGGATAATGTTGGAGTAAACTGAGGTGCGAGTGACAACAATGAAGTGTAGGCACCACTGAAAAAATACTCATTGCATAGCAAGGAACAGTAATCAGCCTGAGTTTGCAGCAAAATATGCACAAAAACTGTGTTGATTTTCCGCAACAGTAACGGTAGCTGTTACTGTATTTATCTTCACAATCTTTCTTGGCGACTGTTGGCAAAAGATGGCTGATAGAGGTACGAAGAATGCTAGAAATGGAGTGCATACCTAGTATGAGCTCCTAAGCACATATTGGTGAAGCAGAATAGTATCAGGGCAAGGAACTTCCACTGGCAGGAAGCAAATAAAACCACTGGTATCAGACCAAGAGCCACACCAAACGTAGCTGAAAATTGAGAAGTAGCCAAATCGTTGGACAGAAAACTTATTTCGGTACTGTACCGTTTATACTGGTTACAAAAAGTACAGAAAAGTATGCTTGGAAATATAAGTTCCGATGAAAACTGCAACTTACTACGGTAACCCAACTTTGTGTAAACGTTGCATCCTCAGTGAAAGCTCACATCTATTTAATCGTAATAATAATGTAACTCACGGAAGCACTGGGATATCTTCACACCAGCAGTCGGAGACATAATCTTCTTTTCCTTTAACTTATCCACCAGAACTCCCCAGGAGAGTTTGAACGAAAAGTTGAAAATCATAGGTACAGATGTAAAAGTTCCGTTCTAAATGTACTCGATGAAATTAGATTATAGCTGGGAATAATCTCTCATACCATGATCACTCCTAGCAAGAGAACATCCTTGAAGTATGTGGGAAGATATACCATCATTACAGTGGCCACATTAGTCAAAATCCAAGTCGCAACTAGGTGAGCTAAGAATGCTTTGTTTGTGAATATCTTCGACCAGGGTACTGGTGGCGACCTCTGAAACTTAGGGTTTTGGGAGTGGGCAAGTGGGTAATCAGATTTCCTATGAATACTCATTGGCAAGCTCTAGACTAGAAGATGTCTAAGGCCTAAGGCATACCTCACGCGATTTTAGTCACCGCGCGATTTGGCACTGCAATGACTCTCCATAGCTGATCGTAAACGCACTTTACTTGGGCCATACTTGCTGCGTTTGTTACAATTTACGGAATCTACGCACCCATGCATCTGAGAGCCTCGCGTGCTTAATCTCTAGATATTTGACAAATCGCCAAGTCGCGAGGATGTGGTGATTTCGCCAAATCGCGAGGGGTATGCTTTGGGCCTAAGTGGTAGCATATGGTTTGGAACATTCAAGAACATTCACTCCAACTTGTAGGACGGACGGTACCCTTTTTGAACCAATCATCGCCCTCGAGTACGGTAGAATTTACGGTTAACGCCACCAAGTGAGTTTTGATGGTTGAAAGTCTAGCTAAGCTACGGTATAGACGGCAGCTCAAATGATTCAGTCGTAGCCGAAAATTTGAACTTCCACTTCAGCCCAGACCGTACCCTCTAAGTAATTTAAAACACTGCCTTTTTTCGCTTGGCAACGGTAAATGTGAGCCAGTACTGTTTGGGAAATACCCTGGTCAAGACCTCCCAATCAGTTAACGCATAAGAAGTTCAGGTCGGATCCGTTTGGACAATGCTTTCGAGGTTTCTGATCTTGCCCAAGTCATTAGGGTTACTTACAGCATGGCTGTTCTGCCGTTTAACCACAGCCGTTCTCTTGAGAAAAAGTCGCTCGTCCATCTTCATAAATCGGCACTCGTCTGGGGTGCTAGAACTGAGCAACATCCAAGCTATGCACCACATGGCTCCCATGGCCGCTGTAAAGAGAGCCAGTCAGTCAGTCATCAAGTCAAATGTTCGCAGTAGCGAAAAGTGCAAAGCTTCTGGCGAAAACAATGAATCACTCTTGTACTGAGCTGAGTCAGCTTTGCGGAGAACATTTGTATTCTCTGCGTGTGTCAAGAGAGTGTTTTGATCGTGCTGAGAAGAGTGAAAAGAGCAGAAAGAAAAATGCTCTGCAGGACAATCGAGGGATTCAAAGGCTGGGACGAAAGAACATTTAAAGATAGAAAGATTGCGAACCAACCAGAAAAATAGTAAACGGCCGGCCATCCGAGACTTGAATCGCAGAGTCTGGCAGCAAGGGGATTACCAATGAAAAGAGCTACCTGGTTACCTCAAAAAGACTGTCAGTAAGTATACAATTTATGTAAGGAAATAAGCAGGTACCTGTAGTGAACAGGGATACTGCTGTACTTCGTTCGTCCAATGGAAACCAATTCGTCACGATTGTGTTGATACATGGATAGATGAAGGACTGAAAATTTTTTGCAATACTGCAAAGTATACTATTTTAGAAGTTCCAAATAAAAATTTTCCAGATTTTCGTTGACTTTCGAATTAATATAGAGTTCAAAGATCAGCCTGACTAGAGTTTGGGTTTATTTTATTCGCAAAAAACACTATCGCATCGAATGGTACATACCCATGACATTTTTTGATTAAAACGTTGTCTTCAAAACTCTTACAGTAGTCTAAAAGCTATTTACATCTCGATTACGCTGCCTGTCGCATTATATTAGGTTGTCGGAAAATGATGTCGCATGGCATCCTACCGCGACACAGTGACCACGGAAAACAGCGAATGAGGTATCATATGATAGAGCAAAGCAAGCTCTAAAAGAAAGCTTACGAATCTCCGCAAAAATATTACTCTGCCTAAAATTCGAATCCAAAGTATAAAAAAATTCAGGCACCCTAAAAATCGTATCTCCGCCCATAGACGTCTTAGGGACTCTAATCTGCACCGGCAGATACTCTCCACATTAGACATTCACCTGTACAGTTTGTATTATTTTTCCATGGCTACAGCACAACAAACGAAATCGGGTCAAAAGTGCGAGTATGTCGCGCTTTTCGGGTTTTTTGCAAACAATTTGGTTTTTCTCAAAAATAAAGCTTGTCAGCTGGAAATTCAAATCACCTCTTTGAGAGAAGCTCAGGATTGCTTTAACAGAAATATGCCGAATTTCGTCTTCTCAATTTCCAGATATGGAAAAACCAAGAAAATGTGCGTACGAGTGTCTGGTATAGTGAGTCTATGCGTGGGCAAGTTAGGGGTTCCCAGGACTTTTTTGAACGGAGATGCGATTTTTTCATTCTCTTTCAGATCTTTAGTGCCTTATGAAATTTGGCTTCAAAATTCACGCAGACCAAACCTGGCGCGAAGGTTTGAGCTTCATTTTGTAGTGCTTGCTCCAGTCTATCGGTTGGTACCCCATTTACTTGCTTTCCTGCTCATTCTGCGGCGATATTGCATGTTAAAACAAGATGCGACATTATTTTCCGGACAGCCTAATAAAATTAACCTTTACAGACAGAATGAGTTTACCTTTATTTCTTAAATTTTTCAAAAGAATAATTCCTGACAAAAAACGACTCGGATGTGGTAAAATGCTCGTAAAATAAGGCCAGACCTTCATTTTCAACATTTCACAGTTTCTTAGCCCAAACAGTTGAGAGAGAGTATGCTCTCATTGCTTGGTATAAGCAGCCAAGCTCTGTAGTGTTTTCATTATTGCTCATTCATAAGTAAACCAAAAGATGCTGGATGTTTGCTTGCATGCTGACATAGAGCAGAGTACTTTTCTTGTGAAAAAAGTGTCAAAAGCCTTGTGCTGACCCTAGCGGGCTCAAACCTCACCGAGATAAGCTTTATGTCAACAAAATTCTGCTTTAGAAAAACAAGAGTTGCTGAAATGATGTAAATAGTGGTTCGTTAGCTAAGTTCTTGCAGCCTTGACTATGAGGGAACCATCATTACCACTTATCTGGGATAAACGAATCCTATCTAGGCAGTAAGCTGCTTTATGCTCGATATGTTACCCCTTGTTGAGCGCAGAGTTTCTTTCAGTGTAAGTATCCTAATGATTCACAAGCAATTACGGTACTGCATAACCTTTTCTTATTACATTGTGCAAATATCAAAGTCAAATCGCGTAATACTGTAGTGAGTGAATAAGGAAATGGGAGAGTGATATCATTATTGCAAAAGTTACATCTCCTTCAAACGATGATTAAGCACACTTCATTCGCAATGCAAAAAGCAGTTTTTCTCCGGAATGGTTAGGAATGACTATAGGTTTCAGAAATGTATCAGTTGTATTACACATCTGAAATAATGCTTTGTTTTTTCCTTTATCAATGCCCTCAGAAGCTTTCATATATTGGTGAGTAACTGGTAAGCACATTTCTCAATAGAGCCATTTTTCAAACTGATAAAAAAACGAAATCAAAATTATCAGTTGGTCATAATTGATGGAAGCTCCCTGTGCTACCTTGAGAATATATAAATGTGGAAAGCTGAACAAAGCATGCTCTATAAACTGCCACTTGAACGTTCGCAAAAGGCATCACGTGAAGTTTGAAATCAGAGTTCATAAAATTTTAACCACCCAAAAATGGATCTCCGTCCAAAAGAATCCTGTGCACCTCTTACTTTCTTAAGCGTATACCTTCTCATATTAGACATTCATATTTACACCTCGCTGTTCTTTTCATGGCTAGAGTATGTAGAACGAAAACTGGCATTTTTCTAGCAAAGTGAAGCTGTGCTGTTCGCATGTGTACTTTTATACTACAATTGCTAAGGTATGACAGCAAATTTTTAGCCTTTCAAAAGCATTAGCCTTCAGGGACCATTGATTGAACCCGAAAACCCGAGAAAGACGACATTTGTGTAAATTTGGCCTATATTGCTTTTACATTTTTAGTCCAAAAAATCTAGAATTTGCACATTAAAGTTATTGGTACAAGGAGTATATCTACAAGAATGAAGGTTCTTAGACCGGATCAATTTTTGAGTAAAGACTTTTGAATTTTCTTGGACTCTGTTGAATCAAGCTTTTATAACATTACCTCTTGCTAATGTTATATTTGCAAGCCATGATGAAGAGCTTGCTTGGTTCTGTCAACCGGTATGCCTTTTAGATTTGTATTCAAAATGCTGCGCTAGCGCAAGGTGCGTGCATTGATTATGAATCAAACCTAATATTTATGAAGATTAGACAAGAAAGAAGTGATAAAGTTAGGCAAATGATCAATCTGATTTTCCTCTTACATGCTGTTAAAGGTATTGATAAACAGAAGTTTTCAAATGCTATTTGATATGTCGAAATTGTAATGCGAATTTGACGGGAATAAAAGTGTCAGTATTTCTTCGAAAAGGAGCGGATAACGCCAGAATCCTTCATTCGGAAAGTCCCCGTTATCCTCCATTTCCCCGTTGAAAAAATTTCCTAAGCTGTCACTGAAGCTCTCCTAATAATAACATGTTTTCAATGCATGCATAGCAACCGAAAGCCAGCAGGTATAAACAAAAATTATGCATGATTTTCTTAAATATCGCTGATCTCAAGGCTTTTATAGCCTACTTGACGTACCTCTCCTGCTCCAAGTAGGAATCGTGCAGCAAAAACAGCATAGATTCCGTAATTAATGGCAAGGTATGGAATGAGCAGGTTCACCAGTGCCTGATAAAAAAAACTATTAGAACGTTGAGGAAATGTAAGGTTTGCGAATTTTGTGTGAGCTAAAGAATTGAAAATGATGTGAATCCACAATTTCCTTCAGTTTTGCGCTTTTTGGTATAAACCCTGCCTCTCCTTTTGGGTTTGCAGATTATTTACGGGTTTGGATACTGTCGGAAACTAATGTCTACTTGATATCCTCAGACTATTTGAGATAAGGTGAGCAATATGATTTCACGTGACTTCCTCGGCTATGTCAAACTTTGATAAATCGAAGTTTACTTAGAACTGCACTCGCAGCACTTAAGACAATTATCAGCAAAAACTTGTGTAAACAATGTAGCCGAAGAGCGATAAGAAACAATGATCACAGAACCGCTGTACCTTGTTGGCTACACAGAGCATAAAGACGAGTTTCTTGTCCATTTTTTGTACGAAGTAGATCGACGGAATAATAGTGACGATTCCACCCCAAAACGAAGCGGAGAATAACAGATTTTGAGCAGCATGATTCCAGACAAGCGAGCCCTGATGGAATGTATGTTAAAAAACAAACAAACGAAGACTGGTATTAACGTCAACAGCATTAATATTAACAATAATACCTATAATAATAATGATAAGTAATAAATAAGCTAACAATGATCTGCAAAATATTCGCAAGATATCTGACTTTTCATTTCCTCAGATAACCTCAAGAAAGCATTGCAGAGCACATAAGAAGCTTAGCACTATTATATTATAGTCTTAGTCTAACATACTGGAAAAATCTACAACACATATTCCAAGCGAAAAGAGTGTGAATGAGCGAATCAGAGTGAAAAAGTTTTGCTTCTATTTCTTTTCGAACTCTTTACGTTTGGCGGGATGGGCCAAACAAAAATCTGCGTCAAATATTTAAGAAAGATAACATGCAACAAAGAGGCTGTAACTATTCTTCTAGTTTTCAGAATGCAGCAAAATTGAAAATGAAAGTTTTAGGTTGTGAAATAAGTCTAACGCCAAAGATGTGTAACCGTCCAGGCGTTTCAAAAACTTTATATCTGCACGAAATGTAGTGCATAAGGAATCGAATGAGAATCTTTGAATTACATCTTTAAAAACATTTTCATCATAAAATCAAGAATTAAAAATTCGAAAAATTATGATGAAAGGCCTTAAGTTCCAACCTAAAACAAAAGTCTGTAAATTATCTGTAGTGTGGTTGATCTCTATTGTTTGGTAATTTGTAAGAATTCTGTGCAAAAATAAGTGCTGCCATAAATGTTGCCAACAATTTGCCCAGTGTTTGGTATCTCTGGAGGGAGAACTTCAGTGAGAAATGCAGTGCAAATCCTGTTTAGATAGAATCTATTTTTCAATGAGATAAAAGCGCAAAGAAGTGAAATACCCTCATTCTTTCGCTGTGAGCAAATGTGAGCAAATTTTGCGTTCTTGATTAAAGAAATTCAGAATGGCATGTCTCAATTTTTATTGTTGATCTCCATATAGAAAAAACTTGTGTGTATTCAAGTGCCAAATGATTCATCTCTTCATCCAGCATAGCATGAAAATAAAGCATAGAAATGGAAAGAACTGCGGTTTCGGAAATTTGGCCATGGTGGGGCATAACTGTCTTGGTGGTAGATGTACAAGCTATTCTCCAAAATCATGATTAAAAAGCGAGCAAAAAGTTTTTATGCCAGAAATAATTTTTGGGCAACCCCGTGCTTAAGCTGTTTCAGTGAGATCTGGAAACTTACTCCATAGTCGAGCACAGTTCGAGTTCCTTTAAAAGTCGAACAAGCACCACTAGCATCGGTAACGTCTTTGAATACCTCAGTGGCATTGCTTATTGGATCACTGGCTCCCGCTCCCTCTTCGAGAGCGATCGCTGTAGAGTTGATCATGCACGTCATTGTGATAGCCAAGTTCACATTCATGTAAGTCGAGTTGAAAAGTCCGATCATGCATAGTATTAGCAGATGAAGACGACGGGAAGACGGATGGAACAAGGCTGAAATCAGTGGACTACTTAGTGCAATAGATAACTCTCTTTTTTCAATTCAAAATCTCGTGCAAAATTACTTCAGAATAATAAAACCTACGAAAACGAGGTGGAGTACTCGTGGTCATGATCTTAAGAGATTCCCGGATGGGAATGGGATGATAAGAAATGCAGTCGGCTCGAAAGTGCGATAACGCTGAATTTATCAACGCTCTTTTCCAAGCCCATTATGCAAGACCGATCATCTTTTTTTCATGGTTGCACAAAGATCGAGCTTTTTAGTTTTGATTTGTAGCTATCTACTTACGAGTTTTTTACACTGCCAAGTTGATGAGAAAATAATGGCCCATATTTCACTAGTCTTCCACCACCCTGACTGCTTTCAAATCCCAAATTTCCCGAAAAGCCGATTTGACTGGGTCAGTTAACTAGCTATCATACGCTCATCCCAAATTTCAGAAATCTTAAATGCCGTTTTAGAATCAGAGGATATTCGAGAAGCTTCCGGAGAAAGCCCTTTATGGCAAGCCACTAGAAGCTTCTTTGGAGGCATCAGCAGAATATGCAGTTGAAACCGTGAATAAATTTGCGCTAACAAGGAAGGATATGTACTTGGTGACCGTAGCTTTTGGAAATTAAACGTAAACTTTGAATGGTCTTGAAGCGATGATTCCAAATCTGATTTCGGAGTCTGTTGTGCGCTCTTCCGAAAGAAGTTATTAACATTTATTTACCACCAAAATTTGTACAGTTTTGATGATAGGATTCACCAATATCGTTAGTATGTTCACTTAGGCGTACAAAAGAGCGTCCAAATAAAATCAAGCTTTACATTAAGCTCAAGACAAATGTCTCCGATGAATCGGAGTCTAAAAAGGCCGGATACTGACGATTCTGGCTGCCTAGATCTCTTGAAGTTAATTTGAAAACAAGTAACTTCGTTTGGAGAGTCGCACAGCAGATAATGAACATAGATTTGAATGCAGCGTTTCAAGGAGCACCTACTGGTATGCATCTCACTCAGAAAGCCACGGTCCCAAGTATCTTCCCCTTGCAAGAATTTCTGAGGGAACCACTGTTTCAGAAACGTTTCAAAAAAGCAGTCTCAAATTTCTAAGCCTTACCTAGACTTTCAAAGTCATTTTCCGCCCTTTTGTACAGGGCTTATCAAACGCAGTGTCGCTTGCATCAGCATCTCCACTCCCGCGTTGGACTCTGCGTCTCTTCAGCGAACATGATCTCTGATCACTTTCCCAGGGCGGGCGTGGGAAAGGCGGATCCTCGATCGATCGGAAGTGATTAGAGATTATGTTCGCGGAAGAGACGCAGAGTCCAGCGCGGGAGTGGAGATGCTGATGCAAGCGACACTGCGTTTGATAAGCCCTGTATGCATATTTCTTTCGAGCTAGTACAAAAGCTGCAATGAAGGATTTTCATTTGCTCTTAGATTCCGAATCGATGATATTAATCTATTTCAAAGTACTTAAGCATTTCTTAACCAAGCACCACAACCACCAGAATAAGGATGTCCAAAAGCACCGTTTCGCAGCTTTTCCTCTTCCAATAATTGTTACAGCTTAAGGTTTCAAAAACTTTTCAGATATGTGCTGGAGTTTTACTTGGTTACTGCGATCGCCTAATGTCAGAAAGTGTTGTGTAAGAACTTCAGCAAAGATCATCAATGCGACGCTAGATTAAATTACAATATACCGTCCCTTCCGGCTCTATGACTGATCATTTTTGATGTTATTGAGAATGTTTTTTCTCCAAAATCCTTGGCTTTTTAAATCTAGTCAGCCGTAGTAGCGTCTAATGCTCAAAAAAACCACTTTTTGAGAGCGAAAATAATATCTTGAAGTTATTTAGAAAAATTGTAAACAAAGTGACTAAGCTCTAAAATCAGAAAAGTAAATAAACTGAAGCGCTTAATTTAACATTCAGTCATTATGAAACTTCAGTACTCGTAAAAATATGGATTGCAAAATCGCTGAGGGACGGCAACGAAAATCTGTAACTAGATATTTTGGTGTTAGATTTGCATCTCACTACTATTTGAAGTTCTTCGAAAGCTGGTATCGAAAAATCGGCGAAAATTGTCTTGACAACCATGCTTTTCTTGTGTAGTTCTCCAAGCTCAGATGGATGTAGAAGGAGAGAGATAACTTCAAAAAAGGCAATGAAAAGCTGCGTCGAATGTGAATCAGATCATCTATACACCTTTTTTTAAGCATCTCGGTTAGAAAAGCGAACTTACTTCTGGACAGCCTAATAAAAATTTTTTTCTTTAAATGGAGGCTGAAAGTTATTCCGAAGTTTCTTTTGTGGGTTACTTTTGCAAAGGGCCTATTCGAAATGTGTATACTTGCATGACGTACTTTCGCGCGTTCAATCGGCAAAAGCATAATCTGTAGTGCATTTTACAAAGAAGAAAAGCGATGTCAACTTTGCTAAAGTCATTTCCTCACTCCAAGTAGAAACTTCAAAACTGAAGTCTTAAATCAACAATAACGGGTATTATCTCTCCATTAACGTAATTAGTTTTGCACATCCCCATCGCAACAGATAGACCCCGGTTCGCACACAAGATACTCTTTGCTACACTGTTGACCTTGATGAAATGATTAGCACTCGTTTAGCGAACCAAAATGCTTATAGACCCACGAAAAACTGGAATACCCCACACCCTTTATCATTGAGAGAAAGGTACGTGCATCGAATTACATGGTTTCGGAACATCGAATTTGCTTGTAGTGGATGTGTTCCAGAGTAAAAAAGTTTGAAAGAGGGAAAAATGAAAAAAATGAAGCTCTCGATGGTGCATTTTACTTTCTGTCTTCGCGGATTTTTGATTTTCGGTACAACCCACTCATTTTTCATAATCAAATATGTTACTGAACACAATATGCGCTTAGCCATTCCCATCCTGGGCTTGTATCGCTAAAACGCAACAAATCGACCGTTCTACAGCTTGCTTCCTGGAAATTCGTATCCAAAAAAGGATACCAAAACATTGAAAGAAATAACGAAGAACACCTACATGGAGGGGCGTCTGCTCTAAAATTTCAGGGTTGGAACAGCAAAAATGTGCAGTGACACATAAATTCTAGATCATAAGGAGTGGATAGAGTGAGGTTTTTTAAAGAAGTCATGTTCTGCTGTTTATGGGATGGCTGCCTCTTTTCATTGAGGTATTTGATCCATAGGGTAGTAAAACAATGCTAAATGCAGTTGTGGTTACCTTCTGATTTCTTATTCTCATGTGTACTAATGCTCGTCATGAAAAGTTCCTCTTTCCTAAATTTGTATTTTTCATGTTTGTACTCCTTCTGCTTTTTTGATAGTTTTAGCGGAACAAGCTCTCAAAGGTTGAAGTGTGATGAGCAGATTTTTGATGCTTGTACATAATGTTATCTTTTTCATCGAAACTGACGTGATCAGAAAAATTGTGGAAATTGTGATTGAAACAAAACTCACTCTCTCCACGAGCGTATTAATGATGTAAACTAATGGCAATGTTGACGAGGATGGAGTTGTGACACGATTGCAACATTGCAAACTGCAAGTTTCGACCAAAATGTTTGCGCAAGAGCGAAAATGGATAAAACTTTGCTCTCCTTCGGTAATCTTTTAGCTCGCAAATTAAATTAGAGACAGTAGGCGAGAACAAATTCCTATTGTAGCAGCGCAGCATCGTCAGACTCAGGTCATCCCTCAAGCAAACTTCTATAAAGACTACTTTTTACTATTTTGATATAAAGTTCCATGTTCACGCAGATTGTTTTTATAAGTCGCTGTGAATTTTTATGTTCAGATTTTTAAGCTATCGAATGTAAGTGGTCCCGTTTTTCATTGTACTTCTTTTGAAGTTCTTGTTCATTGCACAAGACTAGTAGAAACCATCGTCTGCTAAGTCATACGTTCAAGCTAAATTATGTAAGTGCTATTGAGGTTAGCGTATGTATGTATCATGTTGGGCATCGCTTCATATTGTTCACTCGAAATTCATGCATCAGAAAATCTGGGAAACCGAATTTGGGAGGGGAGGGGGGAATCGAGAATCTGCAAAATTCTCTAAATTTCCAATCCTATTGGTGTGTCTGATAATTTTTTACCGTTTTTACCCCAAACATCAGCATTTCTCGAGAAATGGGGCACCTACAAAAGATCCAAATACATGATCGTACTTTCGTATGTATGAGCTATATGGTCACATACATGGGAGGATCTCAGGACGTCTAGAGGCGGAGTTTGCCATTTTGCCTCATTCATTTTTTTTTATTTCTAGCCATGGAAAAAATTCGAAAATTGTACAATTGAAAACGCGATGTTTCAAGCATATGCTGAATGGGGAATTTTTTGGATATTTTGGGTCGGAGATACGATTTTTGAAAGAAAAGTTCGTTTTCGACTACTATCAGATTTCAGCTCAAAACTTCATGTTGGATATGATTTGGGCAGAGTTTTGATAGACATCTTAGCTGTCTTTGCTCTGTCGAATGATTACTCAAGCCACATCAGATGAAAGAAAGATACAAAAAGACGGCGGTTGCAGTAAAAACGGTAAAAAAAATTATTAGACAACCTAATACATTCTTTCAGTAGTCACTTTTTGCTTTGCCATGCCAATGATTTGGAAGCACGTTTTTACCCTGTGCAATCAACTTTTCCTGCTTTTGTACTCTTGCTATCATCATGGTAATCCCTCTATCGCCATCGGCCTACTTCATTGTAGGTTTCGAAAGTGTTGCAATTACGGCATACGATTTTAATCTGAAAAGCGGAGCTGCTTGCGAATGTCCCCTCCCCTCACTCATGCGCAATGTTACTTGGCATCAGGTCATGTATTGGCCAGACCCTGCCCACTCCATGCCCCTATCCCATTTCTTGCCACCGGCCGGTGGCATTGGAGGAGCACAAACTTTGAAGATGTTGCTAGCATTACGTTCCTCGTGGACATCGCTAGCGAAAGTTGGCACAAAACCAAAAAGGGAATCCCTCTTGTTAACTGGGTTGAATGGTCAAACTCATAAAAAACATTATAATTCTCTTTTGAAACAATCTCATCAATCTCAGCAATCATTATTTTGAGTTTACTTTCAATGTGCCAAATGGTCTTGACTTGTTTTTAAACTTTATGCCTTTCACTCCGCTAAGATTCTGTAGGCTACCTCTTTTTCCATTTTTGAAGCTTCCTTGGGAACTACTGATGAGGGGCACCAAGGAAGCTGCACTACCGGTATAGTTCTTAGCCCCGAAACCGGATAGTCTAAAAAACAGAAGCAAAAATTGTTGTGAAATTTTGTATCTTGACAATTACATTCTAATTCTCAATTCCAACTTCACATTTGTTTCATTATAGATTAGTCGGGTATTGAGAAACCTGGGAATTGGACCTCAAAATTCTTGCAGTACTTCATTCGAAAGCCTTTTTGATTCCTCTAGTAGTGTCATCCTATTGGCCAAATTTCATGATTTTACGCTTTTACTTCACAGCAGAGGCTACGGCTGCCGCGCTTTTTTTGGGTCGCGCTATGCCCAACCAGAGGAAGTCTTGGAGGATGAATTTACATGGTTCAATAGCCTAAATTTCGTTGTTTACAAAAATAATTTGGTTTTGCTTCTATTCACAGGGTGATGAGCTCCGGAAGCATAACTACTGGAAGCAAAAATAGAATAAACGGATGTTGGCTGTTCCTAATTTCATAGCTCAGAGGTTATTTGAAGTGGGATTACTAATTCGGGCAAAGAAGTAATGCTTTGTACTGAGTGCAAAAAGAGGTAGCTATTACACCTATAAGATAAGGCTAACCGGGTTTGAAAAGGAACATTTCAGCTGGTTGGCCCTTTATTTGAAACTTCAGAGTTCGCCAAAACTTGTCCCAAGGGACTCTTTCTGTTAAGTCACCTCCCAATTTGATTGCCTTCAAGAAGTTAGTTACATAAAATCTGCTGAATAAAAACGTTGCGCAATATTTGCTGGTAACGACCTTATGCTTGCCATGCCTGAGTCCAACTCAGTCTGTCCAAAGAACGTAAAAGTTGCTAGTTTCGTTGAATTGTGAAAACTTCGACAAAAATAGAAGACGATTTTGTCAAACTGTTACTATCGTGTGCTGGTAATAGCAGCAGAAATTCTTTGATCAATGCAAGCACTATTGCCATTATTGCATGCTCACGATTGTCTTTGAAATGGACTAATTAAACCAGTAAGATGGTTACTATGTAATTGTCATCTGCGGCCAGAAAACTCGGTGCAGGCACATCCATGCATAAGGACTAGAGCCACTAAGTCAGGCACAAAGTCACTTGTACCAGTTCAAACAGTATGTAGACTGTTCTTGTGTGCTGATCTAATGAGCAGAAAAAAAACCGTGTCGTGAATATCTTTATTAGATCATTCATGAATTCTATTCGGTTGAACTAGCAGCTGCAAAGCTGTGATATGTAACTTAATATCCTGGAGCAGTGCGAGGTGGAGGGCAGTGATCGCAACCTCCTGGTCCTCCATTTTCTCCATCATCTCCGTGGGATCCGTTATCACCAGGTTGTCCAGGTGCTCCTGGGTTTCCGTTGTCTCCTGGAGGTCCTGGTGGTCCATCGTTACCGTTGTTTCCTGGGCCTCCAGGGTTTCCGTCAGGTCCGGGAGGTCCTTGTGGTCCAGGTGGTCCAGGTGGTCCTTGGGGTCCGGGTACGGTGTTGAGTGTTCCGGGAGATCCAGGTGCTCCTGGGTTTCCTGGAGCTCCGTTGTTTCCGGGTGGTCCTGGTGGACCGGGCTGTCCAGCTCCTCCTGGGTTTCCGGGGTTTCCTGGTTGTCCGTCTGATCCTGGGTTTCCTGGCTGTCCTTGGCCTCCTGGGTTTCCTGGGGGTCCTGGTGGGCCAGGGGGACAGTTGTAGCAAGGGTTGACGGCTGGAGCTGGTGTGGCTGGCGGTCCATCAGGGCCATCATTTCCTGGCCGTCCTGGTTCTCCATCACCTCCGGCCTCTCCATCTGGACCAGGTGGTCCAGGTGGTCCAGCTGGAGATACACCGCATCCGCAGCATCCACCACCGGCCTGACGACGGCTCCTAGTCGAAACTTGGGTGAGAGTCTAAAAACAGTGTATAAGGACTAGATTTGGGAACGACTGATGTATTTACCTGAGTGCGAGTCACTTCTCTCCAGATGTTTCCCGAGCGGGACTTGCAGAAGTCGACTTCGTTCTGCATGACCGACTGCATGTGCTGCATATAGTTGTAGAGCATCGGCACAGAGATGATGCACAGGAGGGTGGCCACGGTGGAGAGGGCCACTCCGAAGAAGGCGACTCTCCTGAGGGAGAGTGCTTCAGATTCCCAGTGCTTCTCGTCGGTCATGCCTGTCGTTTTGCCATCTGCAGCTAAGCTTTTATAGCGTATTAGCACTTAATACGCCCCTTGCTTTGTGGTTAGCACTCTCTTGCATTCCGTTCTCTCGCTAACCATTTCGATTTCTTTGATGTTGTCGCTTGAAGGTCACAACGAGTGAAAGGAGATAAGGATACTGCATAGTTGCAAAAAGTTTTTTTGTACAATGGAAGTGTTGCATCCGCGGCACAAATAGCTGATAAGATTTTGCACTTTTCTTTCAAAGTTTCTAAACCATGATAAGAGGGAGATAAGCTTGCACCAAATGGGTATGGGATTGGTAAAAGACCAAGTCCATTTAGTACCTTATAGGGGCTGTAACGTGACAAAATCAGACTTTCTCTGATAAAGCTTTCTCATTTAATGAATTTTAGGATATCTCATCAGCCGTATGAGAAGGTGTACGCGGGCACAGCTCCATACTCTTTTCGAGATTCATCCCGCTGAATTAGAATGGAGTTGCGCAATTAAAAACAGAGCAAGATTGAACTCTAGCTTGACTAAGCAGAAAAATTTTATACAGGGTGTCCCAAAAGAATGTATCGATGTATTTGATGTATTTGATGTATTTGATGTGTTTGATATTGATCTCCTGAGGATATTTGATATTAATGTATTTGATCTTGAATAAATTCCCTATATGGAAAGCTTTCGCGGATCTTTGAGTGTCATACGGTAGAGCTGGGCTCAACTTAGATATACAGTATAGAGCGAATCACCGATTCCACGTAGTTACTGTAGGACTATGGTAGCAATTTTCAACTAATTTTAAGCTTCCGACAGGCGAACTGCTTCAAATTCCAAAAAACCGAAGGACGTTAAACCGAGGTTTTCGGGGATGCTGAATCTATTAGGTTGTCAAGAAAATAATGTCGGTTTTTATTTGCTTGCTTTATCAAAGCAGCCAGACTCAACCCAACAAAAGATAGGATAAACTGTTCGATAGAGCAAAACAAGCTCTACAAGATGGCACTCATGTCTTTGCGCCATGCTCGATCCACGGAGAGTTCGAACTCAAAATCTAAAGATTTTTAAATGTCCAAAAAATCGAAAAAATCAGATCTTCGTCCAAATAACTTCTAGGACCTCCCACTCGCTCACATCAATACTATCGATATCTGATATCCATATGTGCGATTGCCGTATTTTTTCCTTGACTAGAAACTGAGAAAACGAAAATTTCCCTGATTTTCTCAAAGCAATGCTGAGCCGTTTTTGCATATGTAGTTCTATACTACAAGCCTAGGAAGTATAACTGTAGATTTTCCGCTTATTTCGAGCGTTAGTTTTCGAAAAATAACGAATTCGGATTTTTTCGTTTCAGTTTCAGTGCTAAAAACGACATTTCTCGAATAGTACCTCTCGAAATAGGCTGAAAACCTCCAGTTATGCTTACCTAGGCTTGTAGTATAGAACTACATATGCAAAAACGGCTCAGCATTGCTTTGAGGAAATCAGGGAAATTTTCGTTTTCTCAGTTTCTAGTCAAGGAAAAAATACGGCAATCGCACATATGGATATCAGATATCGATAGTATTGATGTGAGCGAGTGGGAGTTCCGTAGAAATTATTTGGACGAGATCTGATTTTTTTCAATTTTTTGGACATTTGGAAATCTTTAGATTTTGAGTTCGAACTCTCCATGGATCGAGCTTGGCGCAAAGACATGAGTGCCATCTTGTAGAGCTTGTTTTGCTCTATCGAACAGTTTATCCTATCTTTTGTTGGGTTGAGTCTGGCTGCTTTGATAAAGCAAGCAAATAAAAACCGACATTATTTTCTTGGCAACCTAATAATTACGAAGTTTTTCGCTACCGTACCTCACATTTTCCTACGGTAGGCGCACTGTAACGCTAAATTTTTTCCTTTTTTCCAAAAGTTACTAAATCAACGTTGCAACTACAAACACGTCGTCAAAAGCCTTCGCGTTAGCTAGAGCGTCACAGTGCGTAGGAAGATGAGGAGTACGTAATTAGATTCAGCATCCCCGAAAACCTCGGTTTTCCTTCTTCGGTTTTTTGGAATTTTTAGAAGCAGTTTGCCTGTCGGAAGCTTGAAATTAGTTGAAAATTCCTACCGTAATCCTACAGTAACTAAGCGAAATCGGTGATTCGCCTTATACTATGAATCTGAGTTGAACCTAGCTCTACCGTAAGACACTCAAAGATCCACGATCTTTCCATATAGGGAACTTATCAAAGATCAAACGTTCGATACATTTTTTTGACCCTGTATTATATTAGGTTGGCACGAAAGTTCTGTCGCACCATTTTCAAAAATTCATAACTTCTGTTCCCAACCGATTTGACAGCTTTTATTTTCATATGAAAAAGTAATTCATGCTTTTTATAATGGCATCTTAGATGCTTGCTAATGATCATCTGTTGCAAAGATAGGAGCGATAGAAGAAAATTAGTCAAAATTCGAATTTTCTGTAGGGTCATAAAAAATCGGAAACTTGCAACAAAAATCGGAGCAGTCAGTATTGTAGGTTTTTTCACCAGCTCTTTCTAAAGTGCAAAGTTTGCGCCTATTGAGCGTTTCTATGAAAAGTTATGACTTCCCAGAAAAAGGCCAAAATAAATCAAATTCGCCCTTTTGTATTGCTTGCTCGAAAATCATAACTTTTCAGAGAAACGCTCAATCGGCGCAAACTTTGCACTGTTAGAAAGAGCTGGAGAAAGAACCTACATTACCGACTGCTCCGATTTTTGTTGCAAGTTTCCGATTTTTTATGACCCTACACAGAAAATTCGAATTTGGTTAATTTTCTTCTATCGCTGCTATCTTTGCAACAGATGATCATTAGCAAGCATCTAAGATGTCTTTGTAAAGAGCATGAATTACTCTTTCATATGAAAATAAAAGCAGTCGAATCGGTTGGAAAAACCAGAAGTTATGAATTTTTGAAAATGGTGCGACAGAACTTTCGTGCCAACCTAATATTAGGTTGTCCGGAAATTAATGCAGGTTTTGAATTCCAACCGCAATAAGTCATACACTTCTCATTTCTAAATAGGTTGCAAAGTATTGTTCGATAGAGCAAAGCAAGCTCTACAAGACGGCTATCTTGCTTTAGCAACAGCTCTGATCCACCACGAGTTTCGAGCCAAAAACTAAAAAGATTCAACTACCCAAAAAATTCGGAAAAATCGTAACTCTGTTCATAAAAATACTATAAAGATTCTAACTTGCTCATGTAAACACAATCCACATAAGGCATCCATATGCGCGGTTGCCGTATTTTTTCTGTGTTCGAAATCAAGAAAACGGAAATTTTCGTGCATTTGCCAAAGTGGTGCTGTGCCGTTCCCACATAAGTAGTTGTATACTACAAGCCTTTAGAAGTACAAAAGTAAATTTCCAGCTCTTTACAAGCTTTAGTTCTCGAGAAATATCGAATACATTTTTCCATAGTCATGGGTCCAAGCTAAAATTCAAATTCTTCGAGAACCAAGGCTTGTAGAGAGCTGGAAATTTACGTTTGCGCTTCTAAGGCTTTGTAGTATACAACTACTTATGTGGGAATGGCACAGCACCACTTTGGCAAATGTACGAAAATTTCTGTTTTCTTGATTTCTAACATAGAAAAAAATACGGCAACCGCGTATATAGATGCCTTACGTGGATTTTGTTTACGTGAGCAAGTTAGAATTTTTGTAGGATTTTTATGAACAGAATTACGATTTTCCTTAATTTTTCGGGTAGTTGAATCTTTTTAGTTGTTGGTTCGAAACTCGTGGTGGATCAGAGCTGTTGCTAAAGCAAGATGGCCATCTTGTAGAGCTTGCTTTGTTCTATCGAATGGTGCTTTGCAACCTATTCAGAAATGAGAAGTGTATAACTTATTGCGGTTGGAATTCAAAACCTGCATTAATTTCCGGACAACCTAATAGTTTGGAGCAAGGATCTTCGTTTTCGGCGTTCATCTTCCATTTATCGGAAAACAAAGGTGATTGTTTTTTTCCTAGAAAAAGCCTGACTAACAAAGGAACTTTTGACTTGTTTCCAGAGAATTCGCAGAGAATGCTTTTTATCGGACGCTTTCTAATCTCTTGCTATGACAGACTTTCCTTCTGAATATTGCATCTTTAGACTCAAGATTGATTTTGAATTCAAAATCGCTGCTTGTACGCAGGTACGTCTAGCGAACGTGATATTTTGAAAGAGCGTAGTTTTGTCAAATTCAATGTACTATGCAACTTCAACCAAAATTCGAGTGCGTTCAGCTGCAGAGCGAATTACGAAAGTCGAAAATGCAAAATTTGAAATCTGTCTTTTGCCAAATTTTGCCTTTCCCATACCAAAATCTTACATCAAGCAAGCCCTTTCAAAATTTGGAAATTGCTTTTTATGACCGAAGCTTTCTATGAAAAGAAATCAAACTTTTTCTTTGTAACTGCATAATGGCAGCTGCTAAGCTGCTTCGGTAATCTTGAAGCATTTTACAGATAGTTTCTTTTCCTTAATAGTCTGATGTACGGAATTTCACCACTTCCAATGTATTTCAGCGCCATGTTGAGTTCAAAAAGCATGGATAGCAAGCCTTCCATTTGGATGTTCCCGACCTCAAGATCAATCATCGATAAAGTCGAAAATGAGTTTCAGTACGCTATCTACCATTAATCAACCGCTTTGGCAACGCTGGAAATGACACGTAAAACTGTAAATGCAAGTGCCGAATGTACGAACGGTTCGTACAATGTCGCATTTACAGCGATTAAGGTCACGTTCTAGAACAAGGAAGAAAGTAGAGTCAATAACCTGAATTCTGCAAACGTTCTGATTTTTCTTGCAAGACAGGAAACAATATTGATATAAAATAGTAGGACTACTGTGTCTGAAATGGACACGGTGAATATGTTCACTTCTCAGAATCTACGGCCAAACTTCCACAACTTGTCTGAGTTTTCTTTTCAAGTTTTTTGGACAATCACTAGAAAATAGTGATTATTTTTGTGGAACTAATG